GGAGAGAATATAAACAGTTTATACTTTTAAAGTTAGTGAGTTTCCTGAATGTAGAGTTGCTTCACAAACTTAACTCCTTATCAGCAGCAACGCTAAAATGTTTGCTAACGACGTAATGGCAAGATTGAACTGGGCCGGAAAGCCCGTGTGTCATCATTCATGGCGGAACATCAAAGTACCTAGTGATGGAAGTTCAATATAAATTTTGATGAGAACGAATGACATTACTGAGCAAATGCAACTCATCAACACCCCAAATTTCAAATTCACATTTTCCTTCCGCATGCCCTGAAAGGCAGAAAAAATCTTCTTAAGCTGTTTGAATCCGAAATCTTAAAACAAAAAGTCCAATCATGAAGTTCCCCTTTAGAACTTTATCGATATCGCGCGAATACCGGTCCGCCCTTCTTCACTGTGCTGACGAAATTGGAGGGGACTATGAAAATGTGTACATGCGTGACTTCACCATTTGGACGCTGTTTGAAACGATGTTTTTCAAGCAGGGAGGTGAAACTTTGAACAATTGTTTGATTGATCTGTTTGAGTTTTTAATGTCAACTATCTTAGACACGCCAATCTGCCTTGATCTCATCTCATGGGGCTTGGAATCGTTTACATTCATAGATAAACTTGTGCAGAAAGCATTTAAGGAATTGGACGAAGGGGTGGAGATAGGTGGAGGAAGTTATTGGAGAACGGTATATTGCTTGCTCTACCGTCATTTCTGGCAAAGGCTTGCTCAGAATTTGCTCTTTTTAGGTATGCATGACGCTAATAGGATGCCGTTTCGATACTTGTATCGACTTTTTAAGCCTCTTGAAAGGAGATGCAGCAGCTGAAAGATTTATTAACATATTAAGCAGTTTGGATTGGAATTGGTTGACTGATGAAGGGAAGGTAATATAGATATTTCGTCTTTGTTCTGCATTGAACCGAAGTTCAACCGATCGGCGTTGTCTGCTTAACTATGAGGATATTTCAAATCTAAGACTTAATGTGTATATACGACTACTGTAGATTATCTTAGATACCGAAACTGGATAGATGGAAGCATGAATTAGCATCTTCTCTTGCTTCGGGTGCATTCAGTAACAATCGCAACATTCTCTTCCTGGCTCAATTATTGAATGGTGATAAAAAGGTATTTCTGTTTTTTCTGTGTTAATACAATATAATTATTTTTTGGACTGTTCAGGCATAGTAACGTAATCGCTTTTTTTTCTTTCTGATTTGGTACGGGAAGGCTTTGTTGACGTATTCATGAAATTATAAATCCTCTTTTCAAAGTCTTTTTTCCTTCTATTGCGATTTTCTGCAACTGAATATCAGTTGAGGAAGCTCGTTCGCTAAAACAACTTATTTTCTCCATATATTCGGGTGCTTTTAGCAGCAATCGCAACCTTTACCATTTATCACGCTATTAACGCATTTTATGCTCTACCCAAATTCATAGCTTTTATCAAAAAGAATCTATTAAACATTTCTGAGATGTAAAATCATACGCATAAAAAGGCATATTTGAGTAGTTTTCTTTTTTGTAATCCAGACTACACCGGATAGCATGCAAAGAGCTCCGACATTAGTAGCAATAATACCTATGCATCAGATTTTTAAACAGAGTCGATGGGCAACTATCGTGATTGTTGGCAATCACCCAAGAGTGACGCTTATGGAAATTGCTTAAAGAAAGTGCCGTCAGTGTGTGAGTTGCGACAAACATGATTTTGAAGTCCGGCAAAGTCTGCTTCGCAGTTGTCGTTTGTGCGATGGCGCACCACAACAAATAGCAAATTTGACCCTGTGGAAGCTGAATGAAGTGAAAATGAAACCTGCTCTACAAAGAATCACCATTATTTTGGAACACTTGAACAAGTTCTTGAACTACGTCGTCCAAAAAAGTTTTACTAAGACCTCGATTTTTCTTTTTTTTTGGGCTCGCAAAACCCTAAGAGGCAGAACTTCTGGCAAAAACAAAGCATTTGATTGGAAAGAATTGGCAGACTCTGTTCTAGCACTAATGACAAACTTTGTTCTAACTTGAGATATTTCCACTTAATGATACTGTCCGGGAACCTAAGGACCATAAGTTTTATCAAATCAATAACAGACTCTTGAACTAAGCTATTCTCCAAGGCAAATGATTCGCCGTGGTAAATGAGAAAATGATCGCTCTGGACGTTTAATTCAGCTCGCCCCTTTAAGTCACTCCGCTCACTCAGTGATTTCCTCATCACCGCGCTTGCATAAC